GAACGAATTATCATCGTCTAGCGAGGCACCACTGTAAATGCAAATAAGAAGATATTCATTTTGTGAAATTGTGTTTGCGAGATTCATCAATAGTAAGGAAATAGCCCTATAGAATTTAAGAGTGTTATACTGGCATAAACATCCAAGAGCCTTCTGGCCAATGTATACTACAGTAGTTAAATCATTTTTCTTAACAAATATTTTTCCTTAGACAACCTCTTTGATCCTTGCTGAACGGAAACTCTTAGTTTCACATTATGGATAACAGTTTATGAGACATTTATATCAAAGCTGGCAAATTTGTAAGCATATAAATATGTATTTCACATGTGAGAAATGCATGGTGTGAGGGAGAAAATTTAGACTATAGATTCCAGAATGTCTAAGTTAGCATGACCAGTGGTTATAATAATAAAACAAAAAACAAAACAAAAAACTGATTCATTCAACCCAGTTTTTCCTCCACTTTCATGAAGTATATCTGTGTTCATTTAACTAAAGCTTCATGTTCCAAACTTGTGCCCTGATATACAGAAATACAAATGTAATACTCTCTATTTATCTCTTGAGAGAAGGATGGACAGGATTAATGTCTGGATGAAAAGCAGGTAACTGATCACAATCATGAGCCCACTCCCCTGTAGTAATCACAGCAGCTTCTTTCCCCTGACACTTGCACATAAAGTAAGGCAGGATCTACAAAAAGGTTTCTGACTGGAAACTATTGCAAAAAACAGGGTTAGGGAATAACTGGATCTCCAGATGTTGTCAAATGGTAGCTCCATCTTTCTTTACCACTAGTTAGCCTGGCTAAGACTGATAGGGTTCCAGTTCAATAGCATCTGGACAGCTACATCTTCCAGACCTCTCATAGATTTTGCATCAAACACATATTGAGGCTGAAGCCTCAGCTGTTAATTTCATACCACTGTATTGACAAATAACTATTTGAAACTCTTGTGTTACTAGTGATTTTCCTGCACCACTGTTTTGCACACTGTGTTTTCACAAGCATTACTTTGCAAACATGAGTTATCATGCCAGTGCAGCAGGCTAAATTCATCCTACAGCGCTAATAGCCAAAGCCACCCTCAGCACAGCTGTGATGTGAAAGAACAGAACCAGGACAATTCCATAAGAGGACTAGAAACAAACTTACATTATCTTCCTGTAGCATTACAGCCACCAGGAAGACATGGATGTCTGAACATTGCCCTGACATGTGGCAGTAACTATCATAATAGCTTTGGGTCCCTTGTTGGGATAAATGCATCATCATCATCATCATCATCATCATCATCATCATCATCATATGCTAATCTATATCCTGCTCTTTCTCAACTAGTATTCTGTTGTCTTCAGCAAAGTTTCATCAGCTATTCCTGTTCCAGTGTAATAGTTCCTTTCTAAATAACTGACATAATTTCTTTCTGTTCATTTGCACACATTTAAACCTTTAAAAACCAGAGATCCAACAAACATTTCATGGAAGTCAATGGCAAATCTCATTCTGATGAATAAAAAGTGTGAATTTATGGGCCAGCTCATGCTATAAGATCAACAGAGGTTCTGTCTACCTACAAGAATATGTAGTATTGTAGTTGACTTGAGTGAAGTCATGAGACACACTTTTGCAGTAGTGGCACCCCATCTCTAGGACCTGAAATATATGTCTGGTATCTGCTAGGGTGGTGTTTAAATTTTTTTTTTTGCTTACTTTTGTCTTTTATTTTGATAAGAGTTAATTATTGCTCTTGGTTTTACTTTACTATAATTTGTGATTGATTTAAGCTGGTCCTCCTTTTGCAGTATTATTTTTTGCATTGTGGTTGTAATGTGGGATTTAATGCAATCATATTAGTTATATTTTAGTTCTGAAATGTGGCGCGGAAATCCTTAATAAACAGTTGTACTGCAGTTTAGCAAGATGAAAGGTTTATTTTAAACACCTACTGTGGTTCATACGCAAATCTTTGAATTCCACAGGAATTCAAGCAGAACAGGACTGCCAAAGAGTATGTTTGGTTTTAATTGTTTAATTGTTTTAAATAGAGTTCTTTACACTATCTCTAAATGTGATTATTGTATAGTTTTAATTGTTGTAAGCCACTATGGGTCCCCTGTAGGGAGAAAGGCGGCACGGCATACAACCTTTGGTTTAGCAGTTCGGAGTACTACACCTTTAAGAACATAGCACTGGCAGTTCGTTGCCAGGAGAAACCAACCTGAGGTAATAGGGTAAGGAAGCTCCTTCTTCCTGCAACACCGTGTTTTTGCAAACATTACGGGGGCGCTTTGGAGTTTCTCTCTCCCCTGCGTAGCCTTGTCCCCCCCCTTCCCCCCCCCACACACTTTAGTAGTCCCTGTGCAGAGACTTTTATGTCATTTCCCCCTCCCCCGCGCGAGCGCCTCGTTGTTATTTTCCCGCCATTCAAGGTCCGACCACTCTTCCCAGAAGTGGCTGCTGTTGCCGCTTTCCACGCGAGGGCCGGGGCGGCTTCAGCAGACGCTACTGAGCGTGCTCGGCCTTTGGGAGCATGCTCACTGGTGACCGAGCCTCCGATTTGACGGGCGGCAGGCTTTCGGACGGAGTGCGGAAGGCAGAGCCTGTGGCCGGGCTCTGAACGCGAGAGCCTCCTGCTCTAAGGGCTAGCTAGCTAGCTGCGAGCTCCTTCATGGAGCGAAGGGGCAGAGCGCAAGGCGACCTCCAGTCCCGAGGCGGGGGCGGTCTCAGGGGGCCGGTGCTGCATATTGTGGTGGTGGGCTTCCACCACAAGAAGGGCTGCCAGGTAAGAGGAGGGGAGGCTGTCTTCACTGTTTACCTCACCTCCGCCCCGCGCGTGGCTTGCCTTTCTGTCTTTCAGTCCTGTTTCTTTTCTAGCATTTACTTCTTTTCCTTCGACCTCCTGACCTGTTTCCACCCCCCGACGCCTTCCTCTGCCCACCATTCCTCTCCTAACGGCAACACTTTGCTATGGGGTTCCTCTTGCCTCTTTTGCTCTTAACCTCTCAGGTTCAAGCAGGCGCCGTTTGCTAAGATACTTAATTGTCAGTATACAGTATTTGTTTTGAACTTAGTTTGGGGTGGCGAGAGAGGGTGTCGCATAGCTCATCATTCATTAATTGCGGGACAGCACCTTTTATAAGACCCCTTAACATAGATCACTTAGTGCTTCCAGCCTTTTGCTATTTATGCTTGAATGCAGGTTCCAACGAAATGATGCATAGGATTGTAATATTAATTCCTGTAGGGTGTAAATTTTTTTGCCATACTCTGTCAGGATAGGTGGAAGAGTAAAGTAATACTGTAGGTAGAAGATCATTTCCAGCCTTCGGAGTATGCATTACTCTGCATTAAAGATTGTAAGGATGGAACTGGGGTATGATAGAATTAAGGTTTCATTCCTAAACACATTTATGAGGGCAAAGATCTAACTGAACATAGGAGGATTTTCCTTATACTGTACTGTACACAGGAATCTGCTATAGGTAACCTGAAATATAAAGAAGTGGCAAGATCTGTATGTTGTTAGATAGGTTACATCTATGGTTAAATTCATGTAGCTACACTTTCCACTTGTTCTTGCTGCCCAGGATTGTTGCTAGAACAGTTCTAAGCAGGTGAAAGGCAACTTTTTTTTGTTTAAGTTTAGAATGCTATTGAAACATTTTGCCAGAAATGTGATTCTTTCACGAAATATTCTTTTTCATGAACTTTGCTCTAAACAGGCAAGCCCTGTTAGTGCATCTATGTTAGATGACAGTAAAATTTAACCATATAAATTTTAGGTGTATAATGCCTGTTTACTGTTTTGAGTCATAAAACATTTTATTGTTTTCCATGACAGGTAACTTTCCAACCTGCAAATCAAAAGTATGCTGTTTAATTTGCAATATATTTGTTGCATGTTGCAGGACTTGCGAGTACAGATGCGCACAAACCACTGGTTCAGCGGTTCGTGCTGGTTGATTTCTAGGCTGAACAGGTGTTTGGCACCTCAAAGCCCCACCTCCTCTGGCTGGCACCCCCTTAGAAGCTCCTCCAGGTGCTGCTTCTGAGGGGATGCCCACCAGAAGAAGCAGGGCTTTGAAGAGACATGCACTTGTTCAGCAGAGAAATGAACTGGCAGTTTGTGCCCAACTCTACCTGGGAGTGTCCTTTTATATATAAGCAGTTTAACCATTGTGCCACGAGGCTCTTTATACAGTGTGTGTGTGTGTGTGTGTGTGTGTGTGTATGTATATGTATATGTACATGTAAAGAGCCCCGTGGCACAATGGTTACACTGCTGTACTGTAGCCATAACTGTTCACAACCAGGGGTTCTATCCCAGGTAGTCGGCTCAAGGTTGACTTCTGAGGTAGGTAAAATGAGTACTCAGCTCACCGGGGGGGGGGGGGCACAAGGGGGCATAATTGCTGTAACTTGGAAACCACCCAGAGAGTGCTTGAAATGCTATGGGGCGGTATATAAGCAGCACACTTTTTTTTCTTTAAAAAATTGACACTTACCTGAGATGAAAGTATAGACATGGAGGATTCTTCAGTAAATGTGGCTTTCTTTTCAGATTCCATGTTTTTCCTGCTTTTTTGAGTAGCCTGAGTTATTTAGGGTTTGACTCTCTGCTTAAACAACAAAAATACAGTATTATCAAAAAGAAAAGTAAAAGCAGTCGCTATCTCTCTGTTCTGTGGGGAGATAAGTTGCAACCAGTACAGTATAGAAGATGGCTTTTAAAGCATTAATTGATGTAAGAGTATTAAAGCGTTTAGTTTACTCAAAACTCTGAATTTTGCATCCATTTCCATTAATAAGTTTTGCAAAGTCATAGCTTCTGTACTTATTTTTTATATTTCTTGGATTGAGTTTACATTTACAGTATAGTCATTTATTTCAGTACTGAAATGCATTGCATTATGCTAGCTATAAAGGGACAATTTGATTTATTATTGAGTTATATTAAGGTTTGGATACTGATCAAGTTGCAGCAATGTTTTTTTCGTAGAATGTTAGGAGTTCACAACTTAATTCGGCTTTCTACTATTTCTTTAGAATTGGGCATTCACCTGCCTTCCACAACTGCCTGGTTACTCACGTTTAAATTTTGGCTCCATCTTTTTTTAAATTCGCATTTCGGATCACTAATATATGATTTAATGTGTGATTCTTACTCCTTTTCTTGGTTCCAGCTTCTTGAAAAGAAACTCTTCTCTCTTAACATAACCCTGGAATCTTTGGTAGATATGAATCTCACTAGGGCTTATTCCATAATCAAGGACAAGCTCTGTCATGCTGAATTCAATTACCTATGCAATAACCTTAATCCTGTATGTTCCCTTCTTTCTGTTGGATTTTTTCTATCTCAGGATCATTCTCCCAAATATTTCCATTCCCTAGTAAACCCACATCTAAGAAGAGCTTTTATGTTTTAATATTTTTCCTTCGGCCACCCATGCCGGTCGATTTCTTAATATCCCTCGTGAAAAAAGACTTTTTTTGTGTTTAGAGACTCCTGACACCCTGGTTCATATACTATTTCAATGCCCTGCTCATTCTCAGCTCCATTTTTTTTCTTGAACCTTGGATCTTTTATTTTTTCAATTCTTTCTGTTTTCATGAGTGATGAATGTAATTCCCTGACCGCTGCTGTTGCAGGTTTCTTATCTGCATTTCTGAAATTGTCCCCTGCTTCTCACTCTTAATTTGTGAAATTTGCGTAATTTTACTTCTCCTATTTTTCTTGTGTTGTAGTTTGTAAATGCCATTAAAGTTTCAGAACAGAACAGAGTTATATTAAGGCATGAGGAAAAAATACAAAATTGAGGTTTATATCCACGTAGCAAGCTGTGCACTGGGTGCCATCCAGTAGACACTCAGGTCAAGTAGTTCAAGAAGCATGGTCAAGTTCTATGTTCTATGGAGTAACAAGGACCTATCAATGAAGTAGAAAATTATCCCTGATATAAAATAAAGTCATTCTCTTTCAGGTTGAGTGGCAAATTATTCCATTTTATGGGAAGTATCATTTCTGCTCTAATACCCACCTTATCATAATGATACTTCATATTCAGTTGTCTGCTTTCAGAGGATACAATATGAGGCATAGAAGGTCAACTGATTTCCCAGTAGATTTTGAAGATTGCTGGTACACGTTTACTGAATTTGTATTTCTTGATTAACTTTGTATGTGTTGAGACCCCACTACAAAAGAATTGTTTTATTTAAGAATTAGTAAAATGTAGTATTGAAGCCCTGTTAATTTTCCAGAATGATTTTTACCTCTATAAGAGAGAGGCTTTACAGTATAAGCTACTCTGTTTGCATAAATAAAATTGTCATTGTAGTAGATACCACAACATTTGTTCTTTAGCAGCAGAGTATTACGTACATTCACAACAGAAAGAAGGGAACATACAGGATTAAGGTTATTGCATAGGTAATTGAATTTGGCCCCTCATTCTGGGTGGCACAGTATTTTTTTGAATATTTATTTATTTATTGGAAAAAGTCCATGTATAACCAAAGCTGTGCTGCTCAGAACTGTGCAGTTCAAGGGATAAGTGTATTATATAATAAGGTGGGAAATTAAGCAGGTAGACAATTTTCCTGCCTCTTTTCCAGCCGCTCTTTCTTATCCATAGACTAGCACATCATTTATTGTGCCACGCAAGTCAAATCACTCAAAGTGGATCTTATGAACTGAAGCACCCCACAGGCCTTGCAATGACTGTCTGAGGTACACATGAAGGAACTGTTAATGCAAAAAGTTTACAGTAGTAGTTTCAACACTGGTAACAGCCCTAAACAGTTAGACGTGGAAGTAGAAGGCACTTCATGCATCTGAAAGCTTCATACAAAGCTCTCAGCATGGCACCACAGCTGCTGCATGGACCTTTTCCCCACCTCTTGAGCTGACTGGGCCACTTACCTGTCATCGCATATCACTGGGGTTCTTCTGCTCTGGTGGTACATCAGTCCAGGCAGAATCCTCACTGATTCCATGGGCCTTACTCTACTGTAATTTACTTTGCCAAGCAACAGGATTTTGGCCTTTGTATCCCATCAATAACTGTGTAAAAGAATTTGAATCTCACCTTTTGTGACAAGGATATGTATATGTTTAGAGCCATTCTTTTATGGCTCTCTCTATATATTCATTTACAGTTACATTGGTAAGCATAGAGAACCAGGGATTAGGAGGAAAAAGTTACTAACAGTCTCCCAGAATTTCACAGATGGATAATGTATGACAGGCAGGGTCAATAGAAGACAGAAAATGAACTAGCAAGAAGGCATGGGTATTTAGGGCTTGTGTGTACAGGTTAGATTTTCAGTACATCTAAAAATAATAAAGTTTATCTAAAAAGATCCTATTTAATAATATTCACTTATTTCTCATCTTTTTTGGGATTTACACTTTAAGGAAGGAGATTTTTTTTATTATTATTGTATATACTCAAGTATAAGCCTAGTTTTTCAGCACAATTGTTTTTGCTGAAAAAGCACCCTTCTCAGCTCATACTTGAGTCAGTGTCAAAATTGCATGTTCTCCCCTGCAGTGCGGGTGTTCTTCAGACTTGAAAAAACATACAGAAAATTCCAGAAAGTAAATAAATCAAGAAATGAGCAGAGCGGAGGGTTCTCCCAAAAAACGATGGGCAGGGGGCTCATCTACGGGCACCTACAGCCTCTGTGGGTGGTCCGATGACCCGGGTTAGGTACACTGCATTTCTGGTTCCTGGACATTCCCATCCTCCTCCTCCTCCTGCGTATTCTAGGAACCCACCTTCCTCCTCCCACCTTCGTCCTCCATCTCCCTCCATCTTGTTACGCAGCAGCAGAGCAGTAGATAAGTGCAGCATCCGGTATGAGTCCTCCCTCCGCAGGCAGTGAAGTGTGTCTCGCAGCTCAGAAAGGCAGTATCTTCAAAAACATTTAACCTACTGATGCCTCAGTTAATGTAATTTTATTGGTATCTATTTTTATTTTTGAAATTTACCAGTAGCTGCTGCATTTTCCACCCTTGGCTTATTCTCAAGTCAATAAGTTTTCCCAGTTTTTGTGGTAAAATTGGGTGCCTCCGCTTATATTTGGGTCGGCTTATACTTGAATATATACGGTAGTTACTTAAAAATGAAATAAATTTTGTGGGAAATGTCCCTTCCCTACACTTTTGATGAGCTAAGTTTGTTTATATAGCACTCACAATCTAATATAGTCTAGTATATGTTCGATTGAATTTGACCCCTTCAGTAAATACTTACATGTATTGTTTTAATAGAGATTATTCTGTTTTTTGTTTTCCTTTTGTTTGGTTATGTTAGGTTTCATCTGTTAGTGAATTTGAAGTTGTGGGCAGTGTTATTTGACTGACTTATACAAGGGAGAGGGAGAGGGAGAGGGGTGAAATAAGGAAAGCTTTATGGAGGAATCTGAGAGAGGGGGTTGAAATAAGGAAAGCTTTATGGAGGAATCTGTGCAATGCAGTTTTTGTGTATGTGTGTGTATTTTTGCTTATTATGAATAGACTTCAGAAATTTATTCTAAACTTAGAAGAAGCCTTGTTTTCTTATATGTAGATGATTTTGTTATTGTTTAGTCAGTAAGTCGTGTCTGACTCTTCGAGACCCCACGGACCAGAGCACACCAGGCCCTCCTGTTTTCCACTGCCTCCCACAGTTGTGTCAATTTCATGTTGGTTGCTTCGCAGACACTGTCCAGCCATCTCATCCTCGGTCGTCCCCTTCTCCTCTTGCCTTCACACTTTCCTAACATCAGAGTCTTTTCCAGGGAGTCTTCTCTTCTCATGAGATGGACAAAATATTGGATCCTCAGCTTCAGGATCTGTCCTTCCAGTTAGCTGTGGATGATAATAAGCAGTTGAAGGATCATAACACTTTAGTGATTTCTGAGAGTTGCCCATTATGCCAAAGATTGGTTTATGTTTTGTTTTTGTTTTGATTTTCATTTTTTTGGGAGAACCTTCCCCTCTGCTCATTTCTTGATTTATTTACTTTCTGGAATTTTCTGTATGTTTTTTCAAGAAATAGATCTACAGTGGGATTGTTTATGTGTTCTGCTCTTAGAAATTAGTTGACTGATTGCTGGATTTCGTGCACTGCTGGTGTAGCCATTCATATAACATAGCATATCTGTTTGAAGGTTGAGTTCTCCTATCCTCCGCTGATCCCAGGAGAAGGTCACGACAGTCACAGTTTGCCAGACGAATGGAAATACCTTCCTTTTCTAGCTTTGCCAGATGGTGCTCACAACTATCAAGAAGGTAAGATGTCATGGTCTCACTCGGTGCTATGTGTATTCTGTAAGTGGGCCTCATAGGCAAGGTATTTGGTATTTGGTGAAAAGTTACACACCCCAAGAATCTTAAAGCCAATGTTACTTTAATTGCATACTAGCAATGAAACCTTTTTAAAAAAATAATCTGTTTGTTGGGAGGAGGGGGCATAGTGTGTGGGGAGGAAACAATTAGCCATCCCTTCTCTGCCTGTGATCTTGGTAAAAATCCTCCTCCCACCTCCCTTTTGCTTCAGGAAAACACCCATTGGTGCCAGTGGTACTTTTTTTCTTAACACTAACTTGCTCCTGATTCAAAAGGGATGTTTAACTTGGCTCTCAATGTTATTGGTATATATGTAGTTATTGCTCCTATGACTGCTCAAATTTAGCATAGTGGAATAAATTCTATTAGATAAAAAGTACAGGCAAATTTGGTACAGGCAGTATGGCTACATATTAACTTGTTGATGTTTACCTGTTATGGGAAACAGCTCTAAATGTCAAAGAACAAAAGTCACACTGCAACTGCTGGTAATTCTGTTACTGTGGCAACAGACCATTAGTCATTAATGATTAGCACCAGTTTTGGTAAAAGTAAGAGTACTTGTTGCAAAGCTATCATAACAACAAAACAATCAGACCTTTTTCATTGAGAACATTTACTTGTGCATAAGCGTGATTTCTTTCTTTTTGGTAGGGAAAGAGAGGCAGATTGTGTGAGACAGAGGTAATAGCCTCTTCACTGTTCTCATGAGCTCTTCAGGTCCTTATTTTGGTGGGAGAAGGGCAGAGTATGTCATACAGCCTATCCTAGGTTCCCTAAACTAGTTACTGCCTCAGTTATGTGGAGATCACAGGTCTAAATGCATTTGCCAGAACAGATCCATTGAGTTATGGGAACATGGTAAGTTAACAATTATTCAGTGGGTCTACTGTGGAGAGGAGGTGCCATCATGTTCTTAAGCTCAGGTGCAAAATTTGTTGGTCTGGCTCTGGCTACTGTAGCACAAGAGTGGGCAAAGTGTAGTGCTCCAGATGTTGCTGTGCTGCAGCTGCCATCAGCATTAGCTAGCACAACCTGTGATGAGGAATGCCAGGAGCTGCAATCAGATACCCAAGAGTACTTCACGTTGTCCACTTGTAGTATAATTCAGATGTTCCTGGGAAGCACATACTCTCTTCATGTAAATATGTTTGCCATTCAAGCTATTTGCTTGATGCTTTGTGTTAATGACACCGACATTTCTGTCCAACCTCAAGTCAACTATGAAAACCTTTTTAAATGACTGCTAAACATTATGGCCTAAAGGGACGTGGTGGCGCTGTGGGCTAAACCACAGAAGCCTGTTGTGACAACCCCAGACCTACTGGAGTATGCCACACTTTAACTAAGCTGCCACCAACCATTCCCTATAAGGAGTCACACAGACCAGGAATGGATTTTAACAAATAAAAGAACAAGGTTTATTTAAATAACAAACAGGGTAAATAAAAAGATCAAGTAAATAAGATACTGTAACGTGGCTTAGTCTCAATCATACATACATCAGATTGGTTCACACAGAACACTTTAAAGTAAAGCACAGACCCTGAACCTATCAGTTCTGGCTACCTATAAAGAAACCTGAACCTATCAGGTATGTACAAACTGACACACAGTTGTACTCAGTCTGACACACAGACTCCAACTCTTGCTTCTAAACTTCTCCACACAAGCTCCAAATATATATACAGTACAGCTCCTCCCCCTGATGTCCCGCCTTCCACTCCCCATAGGATGGAACTTTCCCTCCAAACCCATGACAGACAGGTACCATCAGTGCTGTATGTAACAC